ATTGTCAAGCTATATTTAACAGTTTCACTGAGAGTCCATCTTTGATTTGGAAGTAGAGATGCATATTGTATTGTAACTTCACAACTGGATATGATAATCTCTATTACACAGTTGCTATACATCCGCTTTAATGAAAAGCTATAAAACAAAATTAAAAAATGGGAAGAACAGAAGATGTACACAACATGAAGTTAAATAAAATGCTACTGAATTAAAAAAAACTCTTTTGAAGAAATGGAAATAAAAACAAAATATCAAAACCCATGAGATTTAGCAAAAACAGCATTAAAAAGGACATTAATAACATTAGGTACTTACAAAAAAATCTAAACATCTCAAACAAATGATCTAATAATGCATCTCAAGGACTTAACAAAAAAAGAAAAATGAACAGGAAGCAAGAAATGATACAAGTCACAAGAAAAATGGAATTGAAACTAAAAAAAAAAAAACTACACATTATAACAAGAAACAGCCATTTTTTTAAGATGAGCAAAACAAACTTTTATCCAGACTAGCAAAGAAATGCTAAAGAGAAAAAGCAAGTACAATTAGACAGGAAAAGAAATGAGTAAGTTTCATAAGAAACTAGTAAGGTGATCTCTTGCTGAATGGATCCCTTGATCATTACGCTGTGTCCTCCTTCATTGCTTCTAATAGTTTTCATGTCAAAGTCTATATCATCTGACATAAGAATGGCTACACCAGCTCTTTCTTCTTTTCCATTAGCCTGGAATACCTTTTCCATCCTTTCACCTTCAGGTTCTGTACATCTTTGTCCATGAGATGTGTCTCACACAGGCAACAAATAGATGGATTTTGACACATGGTTGATGAGTTTAAACCATTTCTACTCAGGGTTAATAGCGAGAAGCAGTAATTTGGTCCTGTCATTTTTAACAATGGGTTGTTCATTAATTTAGTCTTCTTTTGTTGTTTTATTGGGACAGTCTCCATGTTTGCCTTTGGTTTTGGTATTCCTTTTTTTCTGTCAAGAGAACATTTTTAAGTATCATTTGTAGGGCAGGTTTGGAAGAGGCAAATTATTTGAGCTTTCCTTTATTGTGGAAGAATTTTCTTTCATTTTTTCAAAGACAAAGAAAAGCTTTGCAGGAGATGTTATTCTGGCAGGATACGTTATTCTGGGCTGAAAAAATTTTCCCTTTTAGAATCTGGAATATGTCGCTCCATTCTCTTCTGGACTGTAGAATTTCCACTGAGAGGTCATCTGTGAGCCTGATTGGGGTTCCTCTGTATGTTAACTGATTTTTTTTCACCTGCATATTTAAGGGTCTTTCAATGTGTTTAACTGATTATCACGTATTGTGGTGAAGACCACTCCTGGTCCATCCTTTTGGGAGTTCTGTGCCCCTCCTCTATTTTGTTTACCAATTCTTTTTCCAAATTAGGGAATTTTTCCTTTACTGCTTCATTGAATGTATTTTTACACCCAACTTCTCTTTCTGTGCCTTCTGGAACTCCTGTAATTCTTATATTCAGCCTTTATATAGTGTCCCTTCATTCTTGAATATCTGTCTTAGCCTTGATTCAGTTCCTCTTTCAGCTTTTTTATTTTTCCCCCATTGTTGAACGAAATGTTTTCCAATTCTGAGATTCTTTCTGCTGCCTCACTTATTCTATCACTGAGGCTTTCCACTGAATTTTTAATTCACTCCATTGTGTCCTTCATTTCTAATAATTCCGTTTGATTTTGTTTTCAGTGTTGCTATTTCCTGCGTGACATATTCCTTAAATTCCTTGACCTCCTCCATGTGCTTCTCATGATTGTTAGGAAGCTTGATAACAAGTTTTTTAAATGTTTTATCTTCCGTTCCTTGATGACTTCCTCAGTTCACTCTGAGGTTGACAGAGGCTTTTGCCCTGTAGGAGGGAGGCACCAGTAAATTCATCGTACCTCTGTCTCTTCCTTTGCTCTTGGTCATTGCTATTCTGGTTAGCAGATTCCTCTCCTTACAGTTTCTAAGCTGTGTTGCCCATTTGTCTTCAGGTCAGTTAATTTACTGATTGTGTTCATTTGGTATCTGGTTCTTTCTTTGCAGCCACTTGCGTCACTTCCTCCAGCGAGTTTCAGTCCCAGGCTCTTGTGCCAGGCGGCTTCCACCATGGTCTCCTTAGCCCCAGCTGCCAGCTCACTATTTTCTACCCCTTGTCATTCCTATGCTACGGATGTACCATCCCTGCACAGCCTCTCTCCCACTCCTGGTTCGAGCAGCTGTCCTGAATCACTGGGCTGTCGGCAGAGCTGGTCTTGCCGGAACCTCCTGGCCATCAGTTCTGGAGGCCACTCACATCTATTTTGTGTGGGACCTGTAGGATACCAAGCCAGTACTGTTTTCCCTATGGAAGCAGTGCAATGTGGTGAGTCTGACTTGGGTTCTCTCTCAGCTCCGCATATGTGGGACTCATTGTTGTTCCCTCAGGGCCCCCAGAACCTTTTCCTCAGTATACAAAATAGCACTCGATGTGGCACTGGTGCGGATCTGGGCCTGCTGGCCATTAGTAAGTATCAGGACCACCTAGACCTATCCTGGGTAGAGCCTGCAGAATGCCAAGTCAGGACTGCTTTCCCTGTGGGACCAGTGTAATGTGTCAGGCCAAAAAGGAGCTCGCTCCTGGTTTAGCATATGTGCGGCTCACCGCAGTCCCTCCAGGCCCAAGGCCTGTTCCTCAGGATACAAAATGGCACAAGATGTGATACTGGTGGGGGTCGGAGCTATGAAATTCACTGTGTTCCTACAGCCACCTGTTTGGGCTCTCCCACTCTGCTTCTGCTTGCGGTCAAATCAAGTATATCAGCAGCACAGGGGAGTCAGAAACAAAGGAGGGTCCAATGCAATAGCATAGTGGTTGAGGTCCTCGCCTTGATCGCACTAGGATCCCATATGGGTGCCAGTTCTAATCCCGGCACCCTGCCTCCCATCCAGCTCCCTGTTTGTGGCCTGGGAAAGCAGTTAAGGATGGGCCAAAGCCTTGGGACACTGCACCCACATGGGAGACCCAGAAGAAGCTCCCAGCTCCTGGCTCCTGGCTTCGGATTGGTTCAGCTCCAGCTATTGTGGCTGCTTGGGGAGTGAATCATCGGATGGAAGATCTTCCTCTCTGTGTATCTGACTTTCCAATAAAACTAAATAAATCTTTTTTTAAAAAAGGAAACAAAGAAACAAAGAAGGAGTAGCGAAAGGCCCCTCATGGCTTTTTCAGTATCCTAATTCCACCTAGGTCAAAGTGCAGTATGTTTTCAGCCGTCACCATCTCCAATTTATTCAATTTATTCAATTTTAGCATGTTCAACTCCTGTACATCCTTACACGAGAGCTGCTATATTAACAAGGTTTAGTAGCTGAAATATTGAAAAGAGCAAAAAAATAGCAACAGAATGAAATATGTTTTCAAACAGTTTTTCTTTAAATTATCATGAAAGCATCAATCTACATTAAAATAGTACATACAGGATTGAAACGTAGCTGGCCTTTAGATAACACTTGATACACACATGCATTGAGGATCAGAACTTCCACAGCCAACTGATCAACTCATTCAACCTTTTGCCAAAAAAGAATGAAAGCAAAATTTAGGTCTCACACTTTGGTGAATTAACACAATCACCTGTAGAGTCCTGCTTGCAATTCCTGACTTGTCCAACAGATGTCCTCGTGTCTCCATTAACCAGAGGAAAATTGGCTACAGCAAAGCAACACAAAAACTCGCACAGTAACGTGAGGAGCAGCTCCCATGAGGGGAGCAGCCAGGACAGGACCCAGCGCCCATATGGCATCGCAACGCATGCAAGGCAAGGATTTAGCCACTGAGCAATTACGCTGGGCCCAGCTTGATTTATTTTTATTAGAAAGGCAGATTTACAGAAAGGAGAAAGAGAGAGAGAAAAGGATCTTCGTTCCACTGGTTCACTTCACCGGTGGCTATAAAGGCCAATGCTGAGCCCATCTGAAGCCAGGAGCCAGCAGTCTCAAGCCTCTGTTCACATCCTGGATGCTCCACTTCCCATCCAGCTCCCTGCTTGTGGCCTGGGAAAGCAGTGGAGGACGGCCCAAAGCCTTGGGACCCCGCAGTCGCGCAGGGGACCCGGAAGAGCTCCTGGCTCCTGGCTTCAGACTGGCTCAGCTTCAGCTGTTGCGGCCAATTGGGGAGTGAATTATCAGACAGAAGATCTTCCTCTCTGTCTCTCCTCCTCTCTGTATATCTGACTTTGCAATAAAAAAATAAATAAATCTTAAAAGAAATCATTCGCACTCAGATTAACGCAATTTGGAGATTCTACCTACCCCCTATTCAGATGTGAAAATTGTTCTGAAATCTGATCATTTTAGAAAAGTTACAAGCAGCTATCATTTTTTAAATATCAGATGAATTGTCATTTTGTGCTTTATTTAAATGAGGATGACCTAGAAACGCAAAAAATTATCAGCAGCCAGGGAGTCAGCTCGGGTCTGAGCTTTCCTTCCAACCCAGTAACCGTGTGTCCCTACGATCTCCTCTAGGTGTGCCTCCAGGACAGCAAACGGTCCCGATCACTTATCTCTTCCAGGAGAGTAACGGTTTCCATGGAAACCACGAGGCAAACATCCATCACTGCTGCCAAGGACTTTATCGGCACACGTAAACTCAACTGAGGTGGCTGCTGATCCTCTCGTTCACTATTCAAGCAGCATTTAGCATCCCTGGTTCCGTTTGGCCCCGTCTCCGTGAACGAACCTCGAGCTGAGTAACAAGTCAGAACTCGGGCCCTGCTGCATGGAGGTGGGGAGCGGGGGAGGCAGCGTATGTGCCAGATGGGGCCAGCCCACACAGAGACAGATCAGAGAGCAGGCCAGCGAGGCGCCTCCCCGCAGCAGGAAGACCCGCGAGGGAAGGAAGCCAAACTGCTGATTCACTGGGGAAACGAGGCAGGCACTGGGTCGGCCCGGCCCAGACGGCGCTCACTCACCTCTCTCAGCCCGGCCCAGACGGCGCTCACTCACCTCTCTCAGCAAGCTGTTCTCCTTCTCCTTCTGCTCCAGCAGGCTCTCCAGGTGGTGGACGTGCATCTCCGCCTCTGCCAGCCGCCTCGTTCTCTCGTGGTCCTCCTCCGTGGCCTTGGCAGACAGCCCTTTGCTCTGCAGCATCTCCAGCAGCTTCTTGATGGATTCGTCCCGAGCGTTGAGGGTCTGCTTCTGGGTCTCGATGCGCAGCTCCATCTCCTCCAGGGTCTTGCGGAGCAGGAACAGCTCCTTGGCCTGCCTCTCATGCTCGGCGTGCAGCCTCTGGAAGTTCTCCTCCGTCAGCTCGGCCACGCACGGCTCGCCACTCCTGCTGCTGCTGTCCTGCTGAAACAGTTGATTCAGATCCCTCTGGATCCGCAGCTCATCCTGGAGAGCCTGGATCGTCATCTGCATGTGCTAGAACCGAGACAAAACAGAATTCCCAATCAGTGCGACACTTCCAGGCGGCAGTAACAGAGCAGACTCGGGTTGGGTGCTTGGAAATAGCCCCAGGAGGACTCCGCAATCTGCATTCAGGAAATGATCCTCCTCCATCTGTTTTGTAGCTCCTTTGGAAATAAAAATACTTGAAACAATCTCATGAATGTCATTAAATTTCTTGTGTTCACTGTCAATAGAAACCAAGATAAAGACAGTTCTCAAAACACCATTTTCCATAGGCACTTAAGGGACAGAAAAAGATAGGAGACATTAGCAATATGAGCATATTGTCTCAGACAACATCATCAAAAACCACAAGATGTAAAATCACATCTAAATATTATAATCGCTAAACGCTAAATTGTTAACATGTACTATATGGGGGGATTTGAAAAAATTCAGGGAACAGGGCTGGGCGCGCAAACAGGACCCTCAACCCATTCAACCCCACTGGCCGCTTTTGCCTGGTGGGGGAGAGATGCAGCCTGGACTGGCTGCTTAAAGAGAAGCAGAGCCATCTTGGCCCAGGCAGCGAGTGCTCCAACAGCACCGGCTTCACTCGCTGGTCACCTAGCGGCGAGCTCTGGGGACTTGAAGAAGCCGAACTACTGCTTAGGAAAAGCAACGGTAAAGCCACCATACATGTAGGTGCGGAATGGATCTTGAGGGACACCCATCAACAGGGCCACTGTACTTACAGATAAGCAAAAGGACTGAGAACTGGTGGTTTGAAGAAGAGAGACCGGAAGATCTGCAGGGGTCGGACTCGTGCACCAGCCCACGTGGGACTCCCACGAGAAGATCTGCAGGGGTTGGACTCGCGCACCAGCCCACGTGGGACGGCCCCGAGTCCTGAGTTGTGACTGCTAGCCTGGAACATTGCTGACAACCACATGACAGCCTACACAAAAGCCAGGACTGGGGGCCAGTCCAGCAGGACTAGATCCCAGTACCTGACTGAGGACTGGGACAAGGGATGGGTCACATTAGCCCCATAAATATTTTAAAACAAATCTAAAGCCAATATTTTAAAATGGAAATATTCTTTTTTTTTAAGATTTATTTTTATTATTATTTTTTTTATTGGAAAGGCGGATGTACAGAGAGGAGAGACAGAGAGGAAGATCTTCCGTCCAATGATTCACTCCCCAAGTGAGCGCAACGGGTCGATACTATGCCGATCCGAAGCCAGGAGCCTCTTCCGGGTCTCCCACGCGGGTGCAGGTTCCCAAAGCTTTGGGCCGTCCTCGACTGCTTTCCCGGGCCACAGGCAGGGAGCTGGAAGGGAAGCGGGGCTGCCGGGATTAGAACCGGCGCCCATATGGGATCCCGGGCGTGCAAGGTGAGGACCTTTAACCACTTGCGCCACCGCGCCGGGCCCAAAATGGAAATATTCTAAACCCACGAATACACCTCTTTCATACACACACACCTCTTCGCTTCTGCTGTTCCTGTATGTTCCCTTACACTGTGAAGCTTTCGGTCTAGAGTAAACATTCAAGAAACGTTGACTATAACCATCATCACAATACACACCTGCTTTACTAGCAAATATCCACAAGATTTTAAGAAACAATTCACTCTGGCCCGGTGCAGTAGCCTCCATTAGCTAATTCCTCACCCTGCAACCACTGGGACCCCATCTGGATGATGGTTCATGTCCCGGCTGCTCCACTTCCCATCCAGCTCCCTGCTTGGGCCTGGGAAAGCAGTGGAGGACAGCCCAATGCCCTGGTACCCTGCACCCATGTGGGGAGACCCAGAAGAAGCTCCTGGCTCCTGGTTTAGGATTGGCTCAGCACTGGCTATTGTGACCACTTGGGGAATCAACCAGCAGATAGACATTCTTTCCCTCTCTTGTAAATCTTTTTATTTTAAAAAAAGGTCAATCTTTAAAAAAAAAATTCAATGAAATATCATTCATATAACATAAAATTACCCATTTTAAAGTGAATGATTCTGTACCATCCAATATATTTGCAACGCTGCAAAACAATCCCTCGTATCTAGTTCCAAAAAGTGCCATGGATTGGAAGTAAAACACCACTGTCCCTTCCCCCAAGTGCCGAGCAATCACCAACAAACATTCTTCTCCCAGACTCACTTTAGACATTCATAAAAATGGAATCATACATAGCTGGATTCTCAACTTTGGCATCAAGTGTTCGGGACACCCATGGCGCTTCCTCAGTTAGAACTTCGCTGACGTGGCTCAGTATTCTGCCACTTTCTGACTTGAGCGTGTTCTGTCCTCACCCATGTACTCACTGAGGGGACACGTTTTGGTTATCAAAGTTCCAGTGCTATAAGCAGGCGTGTGTGTGCCGCTTGCTTGCGTAGCTGTTTTCAATTATTCTGTGCACGGATCTGGAAGTAAAACTGTAAGATGTCACAGCAATTCTAAATGTAACATTTCCCACCCATGGAGTAATCTTTTTTTTTGTATTTAATGATTTATTTGAAAGAGTTGCAGAGAGAGGGGGTGTAAAGAGAGAGAGAGAGAGAGAGAAAGAGAGAGAGAGAGACTGATTTCCATACGCTGGTCCTCTCCCCAAATGGCCACGGCAGCCAGGGCTGGGCCGGGCTGAAGCCAAGGGCGTGGAACATTTCTGGGTCTACCACATGGACGGCAGCGCCCCAAGCACTCACGACTTCCGCTGCTTTCCCAGGCACTTTATCAGGGAGCTGGCAGCAGTGGAGTCTCACATGCGACTGAAGCTTCTCCATCAGAACCCTGGTCCCAACATGTAACTTTTTGTACACTTGCCCAAATATTCTCCTTAGAAGCTAAGCCATTTTATACACCCACCAGCATAGCTGCTTCTTCATCTTCACCACACTTATTTCCCATTCTGGTAATAATGATAACTTGCTGAGGTCTGATCAGCATCTCCCTAATGACTAATGCTAGTGAGCATCTATTTCATGCGCTCATGCTCATACTCCTAGTTAACGCTTCCATACCATCAGAACCTGTGATATATAAACGTGGAATTAAAAGCAAAGTTTAGAGAAGGGCATTGTGGCATAGCCAGTAAAGCCACCACCAGCACCCCATATGGGCACCAGTTATTGTCCAATCCAGCTCCCTAATAATGCGCCTGGGAAGCAAACTGGAGGCTGGTCCAAGTGCTTAGGCCCCTGTGTCCTTTTGGGAAATCTAGAAGTTCCTAGATTTGCACCAGCCCAACCACTGTAGACATTTGGAAAAATCATCAGTGGATACAAAAATTGTTGTTTCTTCCTCTCTCAGCCTTTCAAATAAAAAAAAATACACCCTTTAAAAAAAAAAAAAAAACAAAAAACCTGTTCAGGGGCTGGCAGTGGGGGCATAGCAAGTTAAGCCTCTACCTGCAGAGCCAGCATCTCTCATGGACGTTAAATCGAGAGCTGACTGATCCACTTCTGATCCAGTTCCCTGCTGACATGCCTGGAAAAGCAGCAGAGGATGGCCCAAGTGCTTGGGTCCCTGCACCCACATGGGAGATCCGGAAGAGGTTTTGGGCTCCAGTTTTGGCCTGTGGTCATCTGGAAAAACACAAGAGATGAAAGATCTGTCTCTCTCCTCTCGTCTCGATGGTTCTGCTTTTCAAATAAATAAATAAATAAATAAATAATTTTTTTTTAAAGTTAAGTTTGTTTTGGTGTAAAAATGTGAAATCTGTTTGGTTTTCCACACTGCCCCTTTCTCATGAATTCTCTGGCTAATGTCCGTAGGCAGGAGCAGCAGCCGTGGTCAGCGCGGTGCACAGCCGACGCGAGGCCCGGTCCTGCAGCCCCACGCGCTGAGCCGCACAGTATCCACGGGAAACAGACTGGTGTCCTGCTTCCTCTCATTATTCCAGAAGAAGTGCCAGATTTATTCTGCCTATTTAAACACTTGAAAACCTAGGGTTCATGTCAGTTACACAAAAGCAGACAGATACAAGAAAATTTCCTAACACACGGACGGCTATGCGCCCAGAAAAACAAAGAGAATAAATTTACTTCAAAATATAGACTGCGTGATCTGTCAAAGACACTGTGTAGGGAATGTCATAAACCTTAACAAGTTTTTAAGACTTGTTCCTCTGTATTTCCTCCAAGTTTCCTATACTAACTGTAAAAAGCTTAAAGACAAAAATCATACGCTCTTTGTAGCTTAATTTCCTAACTAGCTCTAGACTATGCAATGCAATGATTTCAAACATGAACACTGAGACGAAATCTCGTTATTATACTAAAAATGTATGTTCGTGACAGGGGTAAAGAAAGGAATTACAGAAAAACAAACAATTCTAAGTATCTTAGGAAACTCACGAAAAAATATTTTGGGGATTATCTTTCAAAGCATTTTTTATTCTGATATTCACATTTTAAAAGATGTTTGTATTTTATAAAATTTGTTCATACTATGTTATACCATCATATCTATAAAGAATAAAATAGCTCGCACCCCATCAGTGCTTAGCTCAAGTCAGCCCTCGTGATAAATGTTTTAGAGATTTTAGCCCATTTAATCCTCATGTTCCCCGCCCCCAAGGCACCAGGAACATCAGTATTTTACAAAAATGAAAGCAAAGGGGAGCCGGTGCTGTAGCTGAGCAGGCTGTGCAGGATGCCGTCAGTGTTTGTCGGGCTTCTACCACCCACACTTGAGGCCCAGATGAAGCTCCTGGTTCCTGGCTGCAGTGTGGCCGAGCCAGGCCACTGCACCCACTTCAGGAGGGAGCCAGCAGATGGAAGCTCTCTCTCTCTCTCCCCCTTGCCTTTCAAATAAAATAAACAAGTCTCAAAAAAATTCAGAAAAGAGAAGCAAAGCAACTTATTCAGGGTCACTTGGACAATAAATGACAAAACTACCCACTGGACAGACTCCACAGCTTGTGCTTCTCACACCATGCTTACAATATACAGTCCTTACAGGGATCCACACTGCTTTAAAAAGCTGTTTACTCTTTCCCCTAATACATTATGAACATATTCCTATCCCAGTA